ACGATAAACCATCAACAAACATAATGCATGTAAGTTCACAGTTAACGATGTGTACATAGAACTAAATTGATAACTGATACGATTCGAATGTACTTCTTCACAATCTTCTTCTCATACTTGTAAATGATGCCTGTATATTTTCCATTTCATTCACTTGTCATCCGAATTTACTTCATCATAACAATGCCTCACTGTTGGGACACACAAATTACTACACCATCCATCACTATTACAATTTATCATGTTCTTGCCACAGTTACCACAGAATCTATCCCTATTCATATTTCATTTCAGATCCAATATCTGTTTGTCATTTTCCTGGTAACTCTGGATGTGATTTGCTCAAAACCTCAACAAGGTGAGTGGAATTCAGTAAATTTTCATTCTCAATCTTGTTGATAACTGACCGTATTAGAATGCGAAAGAGTCTTGCAAGTAGTATTCCTTATGATTACTCCCATCACACTTGTGTGAATGCAGTATACTGACGTGTATGCATTTGCGACCAGAACATTTGATAAGTTCAATTTGACTGTGATTTTGAATAATGAGGGAAACGTAATAGTATATTTGTAATAAGTTGTTCTTCCGGATTTTCAATGGAGGTCTAACTAGGATCGATTCGTGATTTAAAATCTATGGAAATTCAACGAACTACACAAAATACTTTACGGATAATAGTCACGCGCTGACTAGCGGCTAGTTGCAAAATTCAACTCATAGGATGCTAGTAAGAAGCAGTGATGAGTGGAGTTCGACCATTTTGGATAGGAAAGGTGTCCACCACAGGTGATGGAAGATGGTTGGAAAATATTGTGAATTCATTAAACTTCAACATGATCACCGTGGGATAACGGAACACTGGTCTAGAGGTGAGACACTCACACATGAGACCGAAGGTAATTTCTTTATTCCAAGGTGTGTGGTCATGAATAATTACTGCTGAGATATTCTATAGTGGGATGAAACGAACATCCAGTGATACCAGTCTTTTCAACGCTGGTCCAACCAAGATTAGTTCGTGATTTAAAAACTACTAAAGTGGAACTTTTGATTTGTAGACAGTGGATAATTGCTGATGACATGTATTTCTTGGATAGTTCTACAAATCTCAGTCACACTTTTAGTGAGTACTGAATGGAGAATAAATACATCACGTATATTTCTCTCTACGGACAACCAAGTATTCTCTGTAGAGCATTGTCACTTTTCGGTTTATGAACTTGGAATACTACTAAAACTGCTTGATTTATTTCTCAAGTGATCAAACACTCGAGACATACTAGTGAGATATAGGCGAATTCAGGCGCTAAACAATAGGATTACTCACTGTAATATTTCTAAATATTATACATTATTCGTTCCTAGTTGGAAAGTTGTTCTTTGATTGTGAAGTCACAAAAAAGTTAATTTTTAGTAACCCAACACAACAAAACGATAGTCAGATTCACCGTATCACTGCATTGCATGTTAACTTGCAATCTCACTCCTCCTATGACGGACATTCCAAGTGCATTATTTATGAGCTATAATATATTCTTCAAAACAGTAGAGCTTCTAGTGTATAGAAACTATTAAAAGTGGAACTGATAGCGTAAAATATCAATGGTATGTTGCTGTCCACAACAAACAATAAATTGTTCTTTATACATGGAACCATTCAGCTCACAGAATACACATCCAATGAAGCATAAAACCGCTCGGCACCCAATCCTAGTCCTCAGCACAGTCGATAAGACATTATCGGAATCTGAATATTGACAATGACTGTTGTGAATATTCCACTTGCTTGCTCACCTCTATTTGTCTCTTTTCTTTGTTTGTCTACACTGAAATATGTGTTCTAGCTAATGCAGGTCTATCGGAAAAAGATAAAAAGGATTTGGCATTGCTTAAAAAGACTCCAGAATTTCAAAAGGTCAAAGCAAAAATTATGACCCTATTAGATGAGAAAATAGACAAATTTGTTCTGGATCAAATGCGTAACAAGCAGTAAATTATTCTCGAATGAACTGCAAAATGCATGGATCTGTAATACACTACTCAACAAATGTTGTTTTACATTGATCTATTTCTTTATTAAAACAATTTGAAACTTCGAGTTATTTACTGATATCCATTGGCTGTGAGTTGGTTGTGATAGATCATTATTCAGGTGATAATTAGAAGTGTTCGAATTGATGTACGAACTAAGAATTCGTAAATTAGTGCAATTTAAGATAGGAAGAACTAGATGAGCACAAATAAACGTATTGTATTTGGAATTCGTAATAAGTGCGTAATCAAGTACTAATGAATCAGTAGTAAGTGCAAACACCATAATATCACACCAGTGTCTTAGATGTGATGTGATATTTTCGATTGTACCTAGACAATCCATTAGTTTTTTGAATGTAGTCATATCCAGTAGATGAAACTTAACCATATCAAAACCCAAACCACAATAAAACCGCACAGTTCATCCACTTCGAAATGATGATATGGAGACTTCTTTACAAACAGTCTATACATCAATAGAGAATTGTGAATTTATTACTGAATTAAGTAGTAAAACACAGAACACTTTAATGCTCACATTAAATGTACAATGAAGCGTTTTATAGATAAACTATTTGACCGTCATTATACTTACCAATTTGTTGAATACACTCGAAACCTTGTATTTATTATGAGTGATTATTATGAGAATATGGAAAAGTGATCTCGAAATATATTCAGACATGCACTCACTGTTCATTTACTAGTTCACCGAACATCCATAAAGATTTTATATCCATATTTTCATTCATGTTATTTTCTGAAGTGCGAAATCTTTAATAATATTACTATCAATAAGAGAATCAATACAATTTGTATTTCGACCGGCTAACTAATTGAATATTTGTTCATCATATTGTTATGTTTGAACTGAATAACTATTTAAGTCAAGTGTGTTAGATTTCCTATGCTGTCTATTGTATTGAGTTTATGGGTATCAATGTCAATGTTGAACTTTATAGTTTCAGATAAATTGACTGTTGGTTGGAAAATTAATATTTACCCTGTGGAAGTGGCTTTCTTTAAGTCTCGAAATGTTGGAAATACAATTTTTCTACTCTCTAGGTATAAGGATTATATATTTGTTGTATGGTATAGTTCTTGTAGATAGTTATCATTAATATTTCCCGTAATACTGTACATCTGATGAAGTGAATGTCACTAAATGAGTTCGAGTTATCTGCGACGTTAATGCTTAGTAGTTAGCACCTCTTTCTTTTAAACGAATACCGTCAAATGTTTTTCACAGATTTCGTATGCTTTTGAGTTTACATTATCTTTCTTAATATCATCTGAGTAATCATGTTTCCAGGAGCATTATCGAGTACTACGTTTGGCATCTGATATAGAAATCACTAGTAGCTGGAATATAATATGTATTTACAAACTGACATTGATGATTGCCGTAAATGCTATGCCACAACTCACATTGTTTTTCTAGGGAAATCTCTGCCAGTTCGTTGTGTGATGAGTTTTGTATTTGGAATTCAAAATCAGGCAGTCATCAAGTACAAAAAAATTATTATTTCGTACAAACACCACAAGTAGTCTTTAATCTTTGACATTTATCGTCATCAGTCTCAAATAATTAGCATTTCTGAAATACAAACCATTGCAGTTTTTCCGCCTCTAGATAAACAAAATGAAAACCATTGAGCATTGCAGATCTAATTATGGAGGATTTATGGTTACGTTATCCAAGTGCAAACCAATTAAACACTTAGTGATATTTGTAGGTGTCATTACCAAGGTTTGTCAAAAAGTAATCGTGAAACTCTTCTTCTTTTTCAAATTCTGTGATAAATAGCATTTAGTAAATCTTTTTAAATCGTCTTTAACTCTAGATTAAAACGCTTGAATATGTAATATCATCATTCAATATATCATCCAAGATTTTATAGACACCAAATTATATTAAGTATTCATAACGAAAAAATGAAATCCAAATGATAAAAGCCACTAAAAATCGTATAATCAGAAACTTTGTAACTTATGAAAGTTTACATCTATGTAGATAATACAAATAGTATAGTCTTGAAATACTCAGATTTTATAATAGTGATCGAAGTATTTCATCATCATATAGTGACTTAAAAAGAACATTAATCTACTATTAAGAATTAAGCATTCCCGAAATTACGTTACCTATCTAAAGAACTTTGTACCACAACTGATATTTCACTCGTCAATGAAGCTTTAGATTTGAACATTCATTGTGAAACTGAATACTTAAATTAAAGAGAAGACAATATACTAAATAGTAGAAATTTTGATAGAATAAAGGTAAAGCCGTCATGATAATCAGAAACTATGCTGATAAAACCACTGGGTAGTTTATTTAATATAATGTTATTATTGTAATAATAATATAGACTTATTATTTAAAAATTAATGGGAACACAACAGATTTAAATGCAAACACACTTCTCTGTGTTGTATGAAACGTAACTCATGTTAATTGAATATCATATCAGTTAGAAGTTCAAAAAAAGAACTATTATTCAGTTTTAAGTCCCACCTATTAGTACACTTTATAATTCAAAATACAAAAATCAAAGAACATAAATATTGACAAGTATTTTCAGAATTGACAATAATACAAATGAAATGACAGTAAAATATAATGTTGATTTCACAAAATACTGGAAATGAAATGTTTAATATTCCAGTAAAATAATTCATGACACTTAACTGTCATTGAATAACAAACACCGAGAAAGTATTAACAATAAGGACAATCAGAGTATATAAAAAGAAAGAATTCAATGTCGTAACAGAACACGATAAACCATCAACAAACATAATGCATGTAAGTTCACAGTTAACGATGTGTACGTAGAACTAAATTGATAACTGACACGATTCGAATGTACTTCTTCACAATCTTCTTCTCATACTTGTAAATGATGCCTGTATATTTTCCATTTCATTCACTTGTCATCCGAATTTACTTCATCATAACAATGCCTCACTGTTGGGACACACAAATTACTACACCATCCATCACTATTACAATTTATCATGTTCTTGCCACAGTTACCACAGAATCTATCCCTATTCATATTTCATTTCAGATCCAATATCTGTTTGTCATTTTCCTGATAACTCTGGATGTGATTTGCTCAAAACCTCAAGAAGGTGAGTGGAATTCAGTAAATTTTCATTCTCAATCTTGTTGATAACTGACCGTATTAGAATGCGAAAGAGTCTTGCAAGTAGTATTCCTTATGATTACTCCCATCACACTTGTGTGAATGCAGTATACTGACGTGTATGCATTGCTCACAAAAATCACTAGGTGAGTGATAAATAATACCGTTTTATTAAAAATGCTGAGAAAGGAGGGTATAAGTACAAAAATGTGTCTTCCTGGTACTAATATGGCAGACACTTTGTATTCAGCATGTATTTCGATGTTGAATGAGAAATACGGTTTCTCCAACTAATCTTTAACATTTCAACGAATTATTATTATTGTCAAGCGACCGTGAATCCATTTTCGTGGTTCATCATTAATTTGCATTCGTTTACTTCGACTTGATAACTCATGTATGCAAACAAACATCTAAAATGAATCATATATTTCGAATAATATGAAGAGACAATGTGATGGAATGAGTTATTGTGTGATGGTGTAATCGGTTATTGTGTTGAAAATCCTGTAACTTGACATTAATTAATCAATGATTTGGAAGAAATCATCATATTGTAATTAGCAAATCGCAAAATTATCTCCAATATAATGGTAGTTCCACTATTTTCAGTTGTTTTATGTAGTTGGTAAGTATCAAAAAGTCGTACTGAAGGTTATTTTCATTTGAAGTATTTCACTTTTGAATCGTCCTTTTAAACCGCTATTCATCAATCTTTCTGTATTTAATCCCAAATGAATTTCTCCCTACGATACATGTTATATTTTCCTAATCTTTTCATTTGCTGATATGTTGTAAGATTAGTTTGATCATGAATATCATACACTTGAATCGTATTATTGTTTCAAAAACTTTTTATTTTGTATACCTCGAAAAATCGATATACCTTTAGCATAAACACATACTCAAGTATTCCACTCAAAATTTGACGATGAACAATAATTGTTATAGGTTCTTTTCATTTAGCTTATCACTTTAGTTCTTTTTTTTATATGAGAAATTTTGTTTACTACATAATTCAGGTCCTTCTGAAGATGAAGTAGTAGAAAAATTTGAAGAAATTAAAGCAACAAAAGAATTTCAAAAAGCTAAAGAAAAAGTTATAGAATCATTATCAGATAGAATTGATAAATATGTTCTGGACCATTTTCGTAAAAATCAATAAACCTACTCAAAGGCAACTGAATAATAATAATAATGATTAATACCTTGTGTTTTAATGATAACAATAATATTTATTCATCTCTTGAAAATAAACAAATAACCGTTTGTTTGTTTGTTTGTTTTTTGAGTGATTAAAACAAAAACCTGATTTTAATAAATGATACTTAAATGTTACACCATTATTGTTGTTGAAAATTATTCAAATATGGGCATGTGTTTCATTCTATTTTAAGTTTCATTTACCTGATATTGCAATGAACAGAACACGAGTGAGGACAATCAACTTATATTTAACACAACATTACAAAGTTACTTGGTAAAATAGAAAAACCGTACTATAATACTTAATTTGCAAAATGTTCAATAATTGTCTTGAACTTCGTTGTTCTTGCATTTCCATACTAATTGCTTTCTATTCGCGCTCTTCCTTTCTTGACCTTCCCCATCTTCTGCTACCAGATATTACATTTTTGACTCGTGTTATATACTACTTATGTCAATATAAGTAGCACGCACCACAATATCACTGAACTATTCAATTTATTAATATCTTCTGGGTTATATTTAACAATAGGAAATAAACAGTTGATTAGTTTCTTATTGAAATAATTAATGATTTTTATTTATATCAAGTTTCGAATTATGGAAATACGAATTTACAATGGTATTTATTTGTAAATATCTTCTGATAATTAGAATATTTTGGTTATATTGGATATGGAAGTGGAATTTTCGACAATTGATCAATTCCGTTGGTTTGATAAAAATTAATAATTTGTCTTACACAGACATTTGAGATTTATAACAAATCTTAATTGGTTAAGTGACTCGTGGATTTAAGCTAACTAAAAAGTGGATTCGTTAAAGTTAGACATTAACACCATGATAGATCCTGGGTTCAAATCTCGTGAGGTGGGATCGTGGATGCGCACTGCTGAGGAGTCTCATACTAGGACAAAGCGGCCGTCCAGTGCTTTCAGGTTTTCTATGGTGGTCTAGCTTCAACTATCAAATAGCTAAAAACTGTCAGTAGGATTTAATGCGATTAGCTCTAACTATATCCATATTTTCCTTTGTGAAAGAGACCATTTATTCTGAATTTGTAGTGGACCCCGGAAAATTATGTGTCATCAATCACTTATTAGGTAAGAAGTTTCAAATCTACAATCACTTTACTTCAGCCACGTCAAATAATTGTACATGAAGCTTGTTGTATAATAAGAAACACTTGACAAAATTATATTAAACTATACATATAAATTGAAATAAACAGAAATAGTGATTTTTAAATGCTTGATAAATGCCAACAAAACTCCAAAAACTAGGTTATTTACAGTGTAACTTGTATAAATAACAAGCTAATTGTACCATTTTCCACTTGCGAACACTTTTTGTCATTATTCTCAAACAGTATCTTTATAGTTACAATTTTTAGTTGTGTTTCAACACATTGTATGATGAATTTTTGCTGTTATAATAACCACTTTATTATTGTAAAATCAATTACTTGACCTTTTACAACCTAAATTTGCTTACATATTTGGTGTTTTTGTCTAAGAATCTACATAAATGCTTATTAGTGAAGATTTTTTAATACCCTTGTATCTTTTTATAATTCTCCTGAACTTCAGTCTTAAATATATTATGTCCCTAAATTTTGTGTTTTTTACGTATCTATTAACCCTAAGTCCATAATCCTTAATGGCTACTTTCCAACTAGCCGTTTTCTTCTAAGTTTATTCAATTTTACTATAATTTTCAGAAACTTACTTCTCAATCAATATGAATAATGACACTGATAAGCATTAGATTTGAGATTTACTACACCCACATAATATTACATTTGAAGAGGTAAAATAGCAATGTAATGCTTTATCACTATAAAAATCCAATCTATATATCACTTTTAGGTCGCCTAATATTATTTAGGATGGTCCATTGTTGATAATAAGAATCATTATATATCTTCTGAAATAGTTCGTTATCGCATAACTGTGAATATTTGTGTTAAAGTACTATCTCAAACTGTCTGATACTAGTTATTGCGATTTGTTAACTGGTTGCTGGCGGAATAACGAAATTAGGAATCATAATTTATCAGATTTTCAAATCACATTATTTTTATCATCGATTCTAATATTAAAATGTAAAAGATTATCTGCATAACGTGAGCGCAAGATTTGATTTATAAACGTAATTCAGAGCTTACACACAAATCTTTTTCCGATTTGCCAACAGAAAAAATTTGTATTCCCATGATAGTTGTGTTCTTTTGTTGAAATTCGAATCTAATACTCACCATTTCCAAAACAAAAACTTAATCCACTTGCCTGATGGAATTACTACCGTTAAATATTATTTTAAAATAGACATTATTTATTTCTGATTTCTCGATGGCATCAATTTATTAGACCCTTTGTTGGGATATTCAGAATAACATCCCAAAATTATCCTGTTAAGTCTAATGCTATCCTTGAACGTGAAATGGTGTCGTTTTTCTATCGGTCAATATTTATTTCACGTGTCATTTTCCTGTTAGTCAATATTCACGGTAGTCCTAACTGTATAAATATACATTTGTCTGTAAAGTGTTATTCCTAGTCTTATTCTTCTCCTGACCCCATAAAAAATTTCATCTACGGTTCGTGTTCTGATATATTGGAGATTGGGGAACAGTATTGTGGTCGTACTGGGATATCTAAAGTTGGTCAATCGGTAGAAATTGAAGTAGCCACTCCGCGGTCCACAATAATTTGGCGACGGAGATTTAGCGAACGAGTTAGTGACTAACTATGGATCCAGGCAAATTTGAAAAATTGTTCGAACAACAGCTGAAGCTGATGGAGACGATTACTCAGGCGCATATATCTTCTCGAGTCCCAATTACATCGACAATCCCTCAATCATTTGATGGTACTACCAGTGGTATTTCAGTATTTCTTTATGATCCTGACTCCATTATTACATTTGATACTTGGTTCAGGCGTTATGAAGACCTTTTCAAAGTTGACTTTGCTGACAGAGATGATTCGTGGAAGGTGTGTCTTCTCCTTCGGAAACTTGGTTCATCCAAGCTGGACAAGTAATGCAACTTCATTCCACTGCAGAACCCACGCGACCGTTCCTTCGACGCCACTATTTAATCTCTCAGTCAACTTTTTGGTGATAATCATTCACTTTTCAGTACTCGATATCGCTGCTTAAAACTGGTCATGAATGAGTCCAATGACTTCTTGATAAATGTCGGCGTCATCAACCGTGAGTGCCAACGGTTTAAACTCAGATCCCTCACTGAAGACCTATTCACGTCCCTAGTACTCATATGCAGTATTCAATCACCCAAATTCTCCGACATCAGAACTCGGTTGCTAAACTGCCTTGGACAAGACCCAACAGTGACATTCAATGCGATCATAGACGAGTACCAACGCATCATTAGTCGGCAGTGTGACACCACTTTGGTTCAATCTGGGGGCCAGGGTGGTTCCGAAGTTCATGCTGTTTAGCACCAGAAAAAATCTCCGAGATCGACAACCTCGAGTCCTTCGAATGCCAGCGCTGTTTCTGTCTCTATTCACTCCAAACCGGCCGGGAAGAAGCCCCCCTCGCTATGTTGGCACTGTGGAGCGTGGGATTATGTGACGTTTTGTACTTTCAAACAGCATGTGTGCGATCGCTGTCAGAAAGTTGGTCACAAAAGCGGCTTTTACAAATCCAACCGATCCAATAACCGTCGAAATGCACAGACACAGCGTCGTCTTCCCAAAAAGCCGATTGCTTCATCAAGGAGTTTAGAAGCAGTCTTCCACACTCATCCCGCGACTGGACGCAAATTTCTGACCCTCTCAATCAATGATCAGCCAGTTCGGTTGCAGTTGGATAATGCATCAGATATCACTATTCTGTCGAAAAAACTTGACGAACCTTGGGCCAACCTCCCATCAAACCATCCTCTCAGACAGCCGTCAGTGCCTGTGGAGATCATCTCCGCCTTCATGGTGAACTATATTGTTGCATTTCATTCTGAGGTACAACGTTCAATGGGACGTGCTACATCACCAATTCTTCGCTCAACCTTCTAGGTTTAGATTAGTTCAAAGAATTTGGTCTCGCTGATCTTTCCATTAGCGCTATCTGTAATCAAGTACAAACTACTGCCTCTACACAACATCATGCTGCAGACCTTCAAAAACAATTTATTGGACTCTTCCATCCTGGTCTCGGACTTTGTTCCACAACGGAAGCTGTTTTAAGACTGCAGCCAGAAGCTACGCCAGTTTTTCGCCCAAAACGTCCAGTTCCATACGCATCTCTACCTCTGGTTGATGCTGAACTTCAACGTTTGGAAACTGAGGATGTTCTAGTACCTGTTTCTTATTCATCATAGACTGCACTAATTGCAGTTGTGAAAAAATCCGACGGTTCTATACACATCTGTGCAGACTTTTCCACAGGACTTAACGCATCTCTACAACAGCATCACTATCCTCTGCCAACCTCAGATGACCTATTTACTATTTTAAATGGTGTTACTTACTTTGCTAAGCTGGATCTGGCGGATGCTTACCTTCAAATTCCAGTCGCTCTCGAATCGAGAGAGTTATTGACAACCAGCACTTACTCAGGACTTTTTCAGTATACCCAGTTACTCTTTGGTATCAAAACTGCTCCAGCGATCTTCCAGCAGACCATGGATACTATTCTGAGAGATGTTCTTGGCGTTGCTACATACCTTGACGATGTCCTCATTGTCGGCTCAACTGCTGATGAATTGTGTACCAGAATCCGCTTAGTTCTACAACACCTCCTGGACAATGGTTTTCGTCTTCGCCCAGAAAAATGCCAGTTCTTCCTAAGTTTCGTTAAATACCTGGGGTTTATCTATGATGCTTCCAGATGACACCCTGATCCTCAAAATACTTACGCAATTCAAAAAATGTCTGCCCGCACTGATGTCTCCTCACTGCGATCATTTCTGGGAATGATTAGCTACTGTACAGC